AAAAAACAAAAACAAAAACCTGTCACTGCAGAGCTATATACCCAGCTAAACTATCTTCATGTGGGAGTGTAAAATAAGGGCGTGTTTACCACTAATAAAGCCTGACTGAAAGACCTACCAAAGGACCCCGAAGGACACTGTGTCTAGAAGGAAGGATTAAGAGATAAAGAAAAAAAATGGTACAACTTCTAACGTACTTTACCTACGTTCCTTGCTGTCTTCCTGCTTAGAGAGTCCCATCTCCTTGACTTGACAGAGATGTTCCCTAAGATATCTTGTCCTTTTGGCAGCTAAAGTCAAGAGGTAGTTTTTGACCCAGTTGAACTCTTCCACTGATTTATGACTTTCAGCCGAGGTACTTCCCCAGATGGGCATCAGCTCCACTGTGTCCACACTGTGGGAGGTCTGTATGACAGAACAGGGAGTGTTCTCAAGTCTTTCACGTATCAGATGCTGTGCTAGTTATCACCCAGACCTACTCTAAAGACTCCATTCTGTCCTGGGGAGGCTTCCTTCTCAGTAGGATCATGGTCACATATGTAACAAAGCACTTTGGGGGATGAAGACTAGACTTGGCAGGTCATATTCTCCAAATGGTACCCAAACCACAGAGCTTGGAGTTGAGGGTTTGGTAGAATTTCCATAGACCTACTAGACAATACCACCCATGCATAGATTTTACATTTCCATACCTGTATTTCTGGACACCTGTATTTCTTGCTCACTCAAGCTCCTGAAGTTGAATTTCTCCTGTGTTAACAAGTTAGAGAATGCAGTGACGCTTGGGGATAGTTTCGACCCAGGAGCCAAGTTCTCCATGCACAGAGAACCAGGCAACATTAAAATTCAGAACTCAGGCCACTGAATCTGAAATGTATGTTTGCAAACTGTCTGATTTCATGTCTGCCTCGGATGTCCCGTGAATGCAAATCACCTCATTTGGGGTCGGAGGAGCAGAGAGGAAGAAACCTAAGAATGATCTCCAAAACAAATCTTTAATTCGGATGAGGATAATAGAATGTAATCCCGTTTCAAGTCTGTCAGCATTCCTTTGATGATTACAAATGAGTCCCTTTTCCCTTGCGATGTGGGGGAATAATCTGGATAAAATAACCCTTTTTGTCTGCGAGGGCCCGGGCGATGCCTACTCGTGACAGCTTTCAGAGTAGTGTTTCAGAGTCCGAGAAGAGCGTTCTGCTACCACGTCCTTCCTTTCTTTCTCTCGACTTAGAAGATTTTCCCCTCTTTTCATGTTCAGCGGCTTCCAAAGTTCTCAGGCTTAGGAATCATAAATCATCAAACTGTACTCTAGCACGAGAGAGACGGGGGTCACCGAGCCCTTTCTCCTCTCTGCTTGTTCGACGGGAGACAGGTGGAAATGAGAATGTACGATCTTATCTCAAAGGCCAATTTGTACAGCTTTTGAGGGATATGCTTCAAGGCGTGCTCACAATTTTATAGTCCGTTTCCCATTAAAAACATGTACACTGACCCAAGTTCAGGTTTACACACCTCTTTTTTGTTCATTTGATGGTGAAGTTAAGGGACAGTCATTTTTCAACACCTTCTTCTATTCTGTGAGGCGCAAGCTAACAATGCCAGAAGCTTTGTGGACAGGTCAGACCAGATGCAAAGACTCAGCCCCGTCCACAGCCTCGGGATGAAAAGGGGTGTCGAAGGCCCGGTGGAATCAGTCCTGCAGGCTGTGCAGAAATCCGCAGAGTAGAGCTTCTTTCTTGTCTTCCCTGCTCTGTCTCTTCAAACCCCAGTGTTTAAGTGGATGGTTTTTCTCATCTAATTTACCTTTTTTTTTTTTTGTAAGCAAAGGTCCTAGGATTTTTTCCCCCCAGGATTATCTGTGAATAGTGTTGTGGTTCCCTGCAGCCATAAACCAGCACTTTGAGGGAAAAGGTCTTCCTCTCTCTCAGACATTTGTGTTTCTCTCTGGCTGTTCAAGGCAGGTTGTTTGGGGTTGTCAACTGTCACCAAAAATGCCATCTGGTCCTTATAGGGGCTGTCTTCACCTGATGAAAATTTAGCTTGTTCTACAGTTTAGTCTAAACCAATGATTCTCAGTATCACGCTTAGTGAAGTAAGTCAGACAAAGACAAATACTATGTGATATCACTGACGTGAAATCTAGGAAGTAACACAAATGTAAATGCCAACAGAAACAGACTCACAGACACTGAAAATAAACTAGTGGTTACCGAAGGGAAGGGGGGAGGGGGGAGGGGTAAATTAGGGATGTGGGGATAACAGATGCAAACTACGATATGAAATGAATAAGCAAGAAAGATTTACTGTACAGCACTGGGAATTATACCTGTTACCTTATAATAACTTATGATGGAATATAATCTGCAGCAATACTGAGTCACTGTGCTGCACACCTGAAACTAACAAAATATTGTAAATCAACTATACTTCAATTAAAAAAAAACAATGATTCTCAACCCAGGCAGATTTTGTCCCCCCAGGAGTATTTGGCAATGTCTGGAGGCAATTTGTTTTGTCACAACTAGGGGCGCTATTGGCACCTAGTGAGTAGAAGCCCAGGATGCTATTGGACATCCTTCAATGCACAGGACAGCCCCTGTAGCAGGGAATGATTGGTCCTCAATCCTCATCTGAGATCGAGGAATGCTGGGCTAGACCAGCTGATGTGTCCTCGCTTTATTTTCTACATGTTTGGAATCTGAAGAAGGTGGGAAATTTTTTAAAAACGAAAGTTGTGTCCAGAAAACCCAGAGATGGTTCTTTGGTGCATTTCAAGGCTAGCTTGCCTTCTGCAGCCACAAAGAAGTCTTCAGTTCCTCAAAGCCAAGGGCATGGCAACCCAGGCGCTGTTGTATATCTCCACACTTTCTCATCCAGGAGGGTTTTATTCAGGCTCCCCCTGCCCACACCTTCCTCTTTGGAACTTGCCTATGTCTTTGGCCCTTTTGTCCTCCTCATTTCAAGCTCAAATACTTGCCATCATTAAAGTCAACCTAAAATATCCCTCTGGATGGAGAGATGTTCAGACTTGAAGTCGGTTGCTCGCTTGCAGTGCGAAGATGCATTTGCAACACCTCTCAATTATTTCACAACTTCAGCCAAACAATCCTTTTGGCTGAAGGGGGAGGGGAGCAATTTGATTTGAATTTTTAAAGGGGAGAGAGCGAAAGTCTTGAAAACCATGCATAGATCTGCTTTCCTTTGGCTCCTCCCACTGTCTCCCCCTACTTTCCGCCTCCTCAGTTTCTGCTTCTATTTCTCCGGTGCCCTCTCTAGCTGCACCCTCTCCCGACCTCTGCACCCACAGACAGCACATATACCTGCAGTACTTCTGTGCAATGTCATGTCCACCTCTCTGTGCTGCATGTTATACACTTTCTAAAGAGACCTGCTCAGAGATGGTTCTTTTTTTAACTTTTTTTTTTTAACGGAGGTACTGAGGATTGAACCCAGGACGTCGTGCATGTTAAGCACGCGCTCTACCCCTGAGCTATACCCGCCCCTTGCAAGATGGTTCTAAGAGTGCTAATTGCATGGATGAATCGTGTCCGCAGTTTTGGTGCAACTTCACTCACCCCTCTTTGCTGAATGTTATAACCTTATCAGGTCACATTTGAAGCGTCTATGGTCATGGGACTGGGCAGCATTGTAGGCCCACACTTAGCAGAAGGAGACTCAAATGGATTCTTCTGAAATGATAACTACCAGCACTGCTCGGAGGCCACCAGCCCGGAGGACAGCCCCCCACTGTCAGAGCTTGCCTTCTTCTGTCACCCTTCTTTCAAACAGGTTGCAAATCTAACTAAAATATTTCTTTCCTTCTGCCAAACACGGAGAAAATATAGTATTGTTTCCAAAAGAGCGAGCAGGGGCACCAGCAGGAATGGGTGTGCAGTATTTGTACAGTTTCATGACTCAGTACATCTGAATCTCCAAGCATTTTAAGAGCTTTGTCCAAAAAAAAAAAAAAGATCTATTGTGTGGCTCTTGGCACTGAAGAAAATAGCAGGCCTGTCAGAACTCTGTTTCAGATTTAATTTTAAAGTGGGTGATGTAAGAATGCTGCCCAATGAAGGGGGCTTGGCTGCTTTTTCTCATTTCTGCCCATTTTGGTGTGAGAGTAACTTGAGTTTTCAGAATCTGTTCACAGGAAGAAATCAGAGCATCTTTCCTTGACACCTTTTTTTAATGAAAAGGCATCATGTTCCTAAGCAAAGTACAGTATGTCTTTAAAATGAATATGACTTCCTGCGGTAAAAGTAAAAAGATATTTCTACTATTGATATATATTTATGCACACATATGTATATAGTATATTTGATTATTTGGCCATCTCTCTATGTGTGTATATATATATATGTATAGAGCATCTTCTTGCAAGATCTTTTTTTAATATACTTTTGAAAATGTAGCCTAGAGACATAATTGATTTTCCCAAATGCTTCATGCATTTGGCATTTACTTCTGGGTATAGACGTTATAAAAATAAGCAGAAAAAACTTTTTATGAAGATGCTTTTTCCTAGGTGTTTTCTTCCCAGGATATTAAACCATGAACAGAGATTTTTCTCATCACCTATGTAGTTTAATACAGAGTACACATTTATACTCTATGCCTCTGTGTTAATAAAGATTATATACTGTGTTTTACAAACAAGAACTGAAGCATCATGTTTAGCCCTTGGGTTCAGCTGAACTGTGAGTAGAGTGTAAGCTTCTGGGCTGGGGAAATTTCTCACAGTGTTGCCAAGCACCAGTCCGCATTATGGGAGTGACTTTCTGCCCAAACCAGTCTTTTGGGCCCTACATCCAACATCACTGGTCCTCGGCAAAATAACCTCTATTTCCTTCTTCCTGGTTTCTAGAAAACTCCCTTAAAGTCCTGGACAGTCACTGAATTTAAGGTGTTGGTTTTTTTTTTTTAAATAATGGGAAATTTAACATGGAGACCTCATTACAACATAGATTGCACCAGGCTGGGGTCCAAAATAAAATCAGACCATGGTCAAGATCGATCTCTGGAAACAGAACACAGGTAAACCCATCCTGACTCTCCACGGCCCCAGGTTGTTGTTGTGAGGAAGGCCTGACCAAAGGGAATGGCTTAGTTATTTCCTCCTGTCACACACACACACACACACACACTCACGTGAGGGGCCTTTCATCCTTAGGAGGCAGTCAGACAGTGACGTGCAAGCCAGATCCAGACTACAGACTTCCATGGAGCCTTCTGGAACCTTCTGGAATGTGACTTGCTGCTGCCTTAGCATCTTTGATGAGCATCTACTCTGCACCATTTATCCTCATTACCCGCTTACATATTGTTTTCCCGTGGCAAGGTACATTATTAGGTGGAGTATACGCAGTCTGACTGACTTAGAGTTTTATTTTAAGAATATCAGACATTTGTGATTGTTTCACCAATTGGGTTAAAATTGCAGTGCCAAGTGTTAGGCTGTGAATTAATATCATTATTATGATTATTATTCCAGCAAGCTGCAAGGAAGGGACATTACCTGACCGTATCTGCACTTCCCTGGGCTGTAGGGGAAGAGTGAGTTTGCTGGAATCACAGAAGCCTGAGAACCTCAGGGGAGAGGGTTAAGTATTTCTCACGGCAGGGCATTCGGGGCCCAGAGCTGATGCCATTGCATGCTAAATCCTTCCTTGATTGGATTTTAATAAAATTATCACCAGGGAATTAAGTCACAAAAGGACAATATGCAGACTTTAGAACAGAGCTGTCCAATGGAATTATGATGTAATCCACAGAAGTTATATTAAATATTCCAGTAGCCGCATTAGAAAAAGTAAAAGAGGTGAAATGAATTCCCATAGAAAATTTTATTTAATCCAATATACCCAAAGTATTAACGTCTCCACATTAATCAGTGTTTTTAAAATTATTGAGCTAGTTTATGTTCTTTTTTCTTATAAGACTTGGAAATCAAGTGTGTATTTTATTTTAATTTTTAGGGGGGGCAGGAAGTAATTAGGTTTACTTATTTATTTATTCATTTATTCATTTATTTTTAATGGCGGTACTGGGGATAGAACTTAGGACCTACCCCATGCATGCTAGGCATGCATTCTACCACTGAGCTATACCCTCCCCACCTAGTGTGTATTTCACACTTACAGCACATCTCAGTCCAAACTGGCCACATCTCAGGGGCTCAGTAGCCACATGTGGCCTGGGGCCACATTTGGAGCAACACGGTTTTAGAAGTTGAGCAGGGCTTAGAAGTCTTTAGAAGTCTAGGCCAGAGCAGAGTTGAGGTCTCAAATCAGGATGGAGCCTCAGGCCTCAGCTCTTGGTGGGGGCACCTTCCTCCCACAGAGCCCTCATCAGGCCTGCTTCATGAAGAGGCCAGCAGCAGCTGCCCCATTTCACCCCCACCGCAGGGAGCTTGCCCCTCCTACCCCCCCAGCTGGCGTCCTTGCCGCTTGGAAGAGGACTGTTGTCCTCCTGCCTTCTCCAGCCCCTTTCCTAAGAACCCATCTAGACTTTGGTCCTTGGGAAGGGAGAGGGCTGCTGGGTATCACCAAACTGTGACGGAACCTTCCAACAGAACCAGAAATTGGTCAAGCCTTAATCCCTTTCTGCCCCCTGACATCGCGAGGATTTCAGACTGTCGTCCTGTGCAAACCCACTGTGGGGCATCGGGCTCCGGGGATGCAAGGACCACGCATCCTCCTCCCGGAAAGCCCACTTCACCCGGAGGCCGCTTTTGGTTAACCTCACCCCACAGCAGGGAGAACCCGGGCTGGGCGCCAGTGAGGGGCTTGCCAGGCTGTCTTCCAGATCATTAGACCGAGACCATGGTTGGACCCAGGACTCTGCTCCTGTTTGGAGCCACTCTGCTGCCCTCAGGGTCGGTTCTCAAAAGAAGCCGACGTCCCAGGCTCAGGAAGACCCCAGCCCAGAACTCTCCCCTCACCTGACAGTACTGTGGGCTGAACTGGCCGTTCATCATTCCTCTGGGCTCGTGCTAGAGTCACCTTGGGGGCTTTCAGACGTACCGTGGCTGGAGCTCTAGCCCAGGCTACTTGAATCGGAATCTCTGGGCGGGGGCCTGGGCACTGATATTTTTAAATCTCCAGAGGTGATTTTGATGCACACTCAAGGTTGAGACCTGCTGGAAAGCACTGAGCATTTTTTTTATTTGTCTGTATATTTATTCAATATTAAATATTTTCTATTATTTTTCTGGACACAAAATTTGTAACACTAATACAAAGACTGCCTTGATACCCATCATCCAGCTTCCCAAATGTTACCGTTGTATCACATTCGCCTTGTTCTTTTCTAAGTTACAGGTAAGATGCCCATCCCTTACTCTCAAGCACTTCCATGTGTTTTTTTTTTCTTTTTAAATATTTTAATTGAAGTATAGCCAATTTACAACGTTGTGTTAGTTTCTGGTGTACAGCATAGTGATTCAGTTTTATATATATATATGTGTGTGTGTGTGTATATATTCCTTTTCACTATAGGTTATTACAAGATATTGAATATAGTTCCCTGTGCTGTACAGTAGGACTTCGTTGTTTATCTGTTCTATATTCCGTATCTTTCTTAAGAGCAAGGACACTCTCTTACATAATCAAGAACAATGATCAGAATCAGGAAATTAACCTGCTACAATACTGTTTTCTAACCTACAGACCTCATCCAGATTTCCCCAGTTGTCCCAATAATGTGCTTTAAGAGCAAAAGAAAATCCCAGCTCGTGCAGTTTCAGTTGTCACGTCTCTTTAGTCTCCTTCCAACCAAGAACGGATCCCCGGTCTGTGTCTTTCATGACACTGGCGTTTTTGAAGAGTACGAGGTGGCCGTTTCATAGAATGTCCCTTGGTTTGGATTTGTCTGACGTTTTTTCATGGTTTTATCCTTATGCATTTGTGCAGGACGTCATAGTGGTGAAGCTGTGTTCTTCTTGGAGCATTGCATGGAGAGGAATGGGAAGTCCATCACCCCGTTACTCTGAGGTGAACTTTGATGTTTGGTGAAGGTGACTTTTAGATGACAGATGCCATCATCAGCCATCCTTGCACAGACTGAGTCATCAGTGTAGTCAGCAGTTTATCTAGCAAAGTTGTCAAGGCCTTGAACTGAGGGGGCGCAACTCTTAAAGCAGAAGAAGGGAAAAAAAAAACGGTTCTGGAATGTGGAGCTCTGGCGAGGGGGGCTGGCCCAGGGAAGGCACTGCCAACGTTTGCTCCTGGTGTCGGATGAAATGGCAGGAGAGCACTTGTTCTGGAAAGGGCTTTGGATTTGGGAGAGAGGCAGGGAAGAGAGATTCTGATCCAAGGCTTTTCAATCCTCTAAAACAGAGCAACTGTCTCTTCTAAGCTTTAGTGCACCTCACAGCTCCCTGTCTTTTCCTTGCGGAATGATGGCTTTCAGTTTAGCCTCAGACATACTTCCTGCTAAGATGATGACCAGTTTGACACTCCTGGTAACAGCCTGTTTATTAACTGTAGCTTATCTCCAGATCAGCTGTGGTTCTTACCACTTCAAAGAGCGTTAGAGCTTCAGTTGGTGGAAGGTATCCATTTTGCTTCTGGCCCAGAAGGCCTTCTTACTCCACTGATGAAACCTATTGTTTGTTTTGATCAATTAGCAAAACTTGCTATTCCTTCTGTGAGCATGTAGGGAACAGCGTATTGGCTGAGGCTGAGCGGGGGATGCTGTTTATTTCTGTCCATCTGATGTACCAGGCCTCCTGAGGGCCCCTCAGTGGCTTCTTTCTTGCATGGCTGTCGGTATTCCTGCTCATGGTTGTCTTTGGCTCATTATCAGAATGTGTCATTCCCTCTTCTTTGTTTCCTCTCCTTACTTCATATATTTACCTTCATCTGGGCTGTTGCAGAAATGTTACTTTGTTGTGGAGATTGTGACCACAACAAACATAGGTTCCCCAAACTCAAGTTGTCCCTCGATTTCTTCCTCATACGTTTGAACCAAACAGCAACTAATGGAGGTAATGATAACAAAGGTGAATGTTTATACACAGCTGACTCTGGGTGTCCCCCCAAAAAAGGTACGTTGAAGTCTTTACCTGGTTCCTGTGACTTTCTTTGGAGATAGAGTCTTCACAGAAGTGATCATGTTAAGAGGATGAGGTCATTACAGTGGCCCCTGATCTGATATGACTAGCGTCTGTATAAAAGGGGGAAACTTGAACACGCACGCACAGGGAGAAGGCCATGTGAAGGCTGCAGTTATGCCTTCACAACCCGAGGAGCTCCCAGAAACTGGGGGAGGCCTGAGACACAGCCTTCCCTGGGTCCTGCAGAGGGAGCCTGGTCCTACAGACACCTCGATTTTGCACTTCTGGCCTCCAGGACTGTGAGGCAACACATTTCTACCCTTCTAAGCCATCCAGTTTGTGGTACCTTGTTACAGAAGCCACAGGAAGTTAATGCAGCAGAGTTCTGAGCAGCACACTCATTTAATCTTGATAATAATCCCCAGAGGTACGTGTTGCTCTTATTTTCTTCATTTTGTGGGTGCCTGTCTGAGGCTCAGAGGTCAGGCAGTTTGCTCAAGGTCCCTTGAGCTGATAACACCCCACTTTACTCAACCCTGTAATACTGACCTCTGGCTGTCATCTTATTTCTTGCCTCTCCTTCACAGCCACCCTGTGCCTAGTCCTTCCTCCTGTCCTCCCTCCCTCTCTACCCCCTCTACGGGGCCTTCTTTGCTGTCCTGTCCCTTAAAGGTGTGCATTCTCCGGCGTCCCTGTCCACAGTTCTTCTCCCACTGGCCGTGCCCTCAGGTTTCAGCCACCGCCTGTGTGCTGATGACTTGCCGGCTTCCCTCCTCCAAAGCCCCTCTCCTGACGCTGGACACTGTCGGGACGCCCCACAGGCACTCAGAACAGAATCATAAACCCCGTTTTTGATGCCGCATTTCCCACAAGGACGGCACCACCAGTTTAAAACCCCAGGAGGGATCACTGAGCCTCCCTGTCCCTGTGCCCCTCGTCCCCATCACCCATCCCCACTGATGCTTGGGCTAAATTCCTG